CCAGGGTGGTAAGGTTTAATGCCTTGGCACGGTCCACATGCCCAAACAGCTCTTCAAGTGCTTGGTTAGGCTCATGAAGTACAGCAGCAAACTAAGCTACCTGTAGACACACACACCCTGGAAGGCAGAAATCTACTCCCTTGGGATGGCTGGGAGGAGATGCCTCTGACCTGAATTTCAAACTCAGGCACGGTGCAAGTGCTATCCTACTAATGGCACTTCCAGAAAATGTTTAAAAGCAGTGGAAAAGCAAAGAGTGGGCTGAGACGAGCATGGACTGAGGGAAGAGGAGGTGAACAAGACTGACAGACAAGTGGAACTTTTCCCACTCTTATGCTCCAGTGGCTTCTGGGTGAGACAGGTCTGTCATCTGCCCTTCTGCAATTTCTATAGCCCCCAGCCCTTGAATGCAATAGCTCATCACATGTTCATTTGAATTGCCTCCAAAGGGGTAAAGAGGCAAGAGAAGCTTAATAAACTGTGGCTAACAATGCCTACACAACCACTGAGGAGGTCCTTTTTAGCCTGTCAAGAAGTAACAGCCTTGAGAACCTGGGGCCACAACATTATGCTCTTTATTACTTTTTATTTGGACTATATATTATGCAAGTAACATTGTAGAGTTGGACAGTGCCAAACCAAGCAGCCTTTGCCATACTGCAAGTGTCGGAAAATTCTTCATCACTTTGGCTTTTATTGGCTAACACAATTGTCTTTAAAAGTCAATCAGCATACTACAGCAAAAAGAAAAATTAAAATGTACAATAGACTGACTAGCAAGTAAAAATCTAGATTAAAAAGACTTAAACACAAAAGGCCTTTTAACTCACTGTAGTTCTGCCTCTTGAGTTGTCAGGATTTTATCATTTCTCTGGGGATAGATACACATATCTATATCTATAAAACGTTGTTATAAGATGTACTTCTAAGCCTGTAATGGATTAATACTCAAAGAAAAGTTATATGCAAACCCACTTAATTATTTTATAAAGAATTCAACCAATTAGTGTCATGATGGCATTCCTCCCTAAAGAATGGTGAAGTCCCCCTACATGGGGCATGAGGCAGAGCTTTATAATGCAGCTGAGTTTTTGGTCCTTCAGCATCCAGACCCAGCTTGGACACTATTTATGTACCTAAGCAGTTTACACAGGTGAATAGCACAGCCATCTTTTCAGAGAGCTACTCATGTGTAAAACTAACTCTTTCACAATGCAATCAGCAGAAATAGTCACAGTGTATAAGGTGGTGTTTTAGCACTTCAGGGTTGATCCAGAAAAAGAAGGAATAGAATAGAATAGAGTAGAATAGAATAGAATACAATACAATACAATACAATACAATACAATACAATACAATAGAAAGTTTCCATATTTCTAGTACCTGAAGAAGAGGAGATGGGACAGGTTTAGAGGTTGTCTACACAGTAGAAAAATATCTCTTCAAATTTACACAGGTAAAAATGTTTTGTTCGTAGGTGGCCCTTCCCCTCCTGGTCACTGAAAGAGAAGTAGATTACTGAGCCAACAAGAAAAAAACATTTCATATTACTGGCAGTTAAAAAATTGCCAGTGGCAAATGGCAATTAAAAAAAGTAACAATTTAAAAGCTTTGGGAAAAGAACACATATGATGAAGGATCTGTTTGCATAGTTATAAGAAGTGAACCTGAGAGCAACATATCAGGGCATTGGTAGCATAGACCCAGGAGGCACAACATCAAAGCAAAGCATGGCCAGGTAGTCTGATAAAACAGAGGCAATGGGAAGAGCCCTCACAACCCATAACTATTGTCTTGGCTGTCTTTGGTGATAAAGGCTTTAAGAGCATGTTAAATTACCTTCTGCTTTGCTTTCCAAATGGTACCTAAGCAGCTTACTCCAAAATGAACTATAAATTGCATGTTCAGCTGTTTGATTTGAGGTAAAAAGCAGGCAGGTGAGGCAGGCCAGGATCATTGTGGGGGCATATGAAAGACCTACGCCCAAGGCACTGAAAACCTGAGTCAACAGCAAGGATTCCCCAAAGTAGGACACTACCAATGAATGGTACCAGTCAGCAGCAAGGATTTCTGGCTTTTCTGACAGTGTATAGATGCCCTCTCAACTGCTAAAAGCAATGTACAAAACTTGGCCATACCCTCTCTCCTACTGCACTGCCCCCAAAACCTCCAGCTCCCTACTATGTCCCCAGCCCAGAACTTGGGCCCCTGCCTGCTCCAGGAGATGCCCTTGCAAGGATGAAACAGTTTGCAGTGCTTCCTATACTGTTGGAAATATGCACACCACAGTTCAAAAATCCTTGGTATTAAACATGAAAGACCTGAGCCTAGCAAGGAGCAGCAAGAGTGATATTTAAGGCAACAAACATCAGACATTTTAGAAGAAATTGCTGTCCGGTATAGAGAAACAACCCCATAAACCACAAAATGACAGAATCTGTCCCACTGGAAATAAACCATGAGAAAGGAGTTCTTGCAAATACATCTCTGATTTGAGAGATAAAATTAGAAAACTTAAAGTTGACTGTTGTGAAACAGTCTTTGCATAGTCCAGTAATTTAGAAAGTCTAAATAAGTGCTTGAGTTGATGTCCTGGCTTTTCTGAGGACAATGACCGTATTGGTACTACCTTTAATGGGGCCAGGACGTCACCCCTGAACTTTGTGCTGTTGATCCAAAGCAGCCAGCATCAATTCATGTCGGTGGTCATATGAGCACAGGAATGAAGTCAGTACAGTACTCATTTTGTTAAGGAACCTTCCCATTAGCAGGCAAATAATATCCTTTCACTAAAGACCCCTACCTGCTTGTTCGAGGAAAAGCTCTATGAAAATAACTGCCTTTACAATTTATGTGAAAAAAACCTACAGAACAGAAAAAGAATTATTAGTGACAATTCAAATGATAAACTGCAATCCATGGAACTCAGAAACACAGCTGACATGAAGGAAGAAAAAATGTTTTTCCTCTTAAGAAAACTTGGAGTTTTTCAGAGAAAAAATTGATAAAAGAATGTCCTGGCCCCAAACCATAACATTTTGTTTCTAACAAGCGGCAAGAGGGCCTTAAGTTCAGGAATGTCTGCTTTCTTCACTCTGGAAGGTAGTTTGAGGTCCTCTTTTTCTTCCATAAATTATGTTTCCATTATGTTTCCCTTCTTTCTAAAGAAACATAGGAAACTAATCTAACCCCATTTGCTTCAGTTATGTAGTTGCAGTTGAACCTTCCTCCACCTTGACTGTTGGACAGTCATAGGATCAGAGAATGATTTGGTTTGTAAGGAGCATAAAGATCACCTAATTCCAACACTCTGCCACGGACAGGGACACATTCCACTAGATCAGATTCCTCAGAGTCCCATTCAAGTGGCCTTGAACACTACCAGGGATGAGGTATCCACAGCTTCCCTGGGCAACCTGTTTCAGTGCCTCACCACCCTCACAGCAAAGAACTTTCTCCTATTATCTAACCCAAAATGACTGTCAGTTTGAAACCATTCCCCTTTTTCCTATCACTACATGTCCTTGTAAACAGTATGTCTCCATCTCTCTTGTAGGCTCCCTTCAGTTACTGGAAGGCTGTAATTAGATCACCCCAAAGTCTTCTCTTCTCCAGGCTGAACAATCCCAATTCTCTTAGCCTTTTCATGCAGAAGTGCTCCATCTCTCTAATGCAGATTCCTTATCCAACAATATTTGCTCAATCCTTGGAAAAAAAAGATTATCTTACTAACATTTCAATGCTGATAAAATAAAATCTAAGCAAATAAAAGAATTTCTATATTTTTATATGTATATATATAAATGTATATACACATGAAGACTTATGCAGATTTGCAGCAATTAAATCAGTCTAAAGAAACTCCCATTTGAAACCATTCCACCATGTAAAAATTAATTAATCCACAAGGTATAAATATATACCAGTTAAATAAGTATCTTTCTGTTAGGAAAGAAAGAGTTGTTATGTTCAACTCCCCAAGTAATAGTTATGTGTTAAAGATTTTCTGCTGCAATAAAATATACTAAATCACAAGTCACCCAGCTCATCCAGAACGTGAGGGCAAACACATAACTACTTGTAATCAATCCTTTGTAAGACCCAGACACTTATAAATCCCTAAATTAAAACGGGTGTAGTATTTCAGGCTTAAAAACAAAATGTAGGTGAAGCTATCTTCAGCACAAGGTAAAAATCACCCCCTGGGAAAAATCTACCCACAGTGTAAACAGGAATAAACGCTGCAATATTTATGAGTATCATGGTGCTGGGAATTCCCTCTGCAAGCCTCTGATTTTCATCATACATTGATTTTTATCAGAAGCTGTTCTAAAATTAGAAGAAGCCATGATCTGATGAGTATCCTTTATGTTTTAGTCCTAGCAGATGGATACCACAAGGTGCTTTCTCAGCTTGAAGCTGTTCCAAAACCTGAGGCACTAATCTGACATATTAAACTGAATTTATGTAAAGCCTTGTGTCTTTACATCATGCAACATCATTTATGGCATGCTGGGCTGTGGCAGTTTAAGTTATGAAAACGCTGTATCACACAGCAGATCAGAGCTGGCTTTATAGCAGGTCTCATGAATTTCTTCATCCAGAAAAAATAAACTTTGTGTAGGAGTATTCTGCATAGCACCCCTGCAGAGCAATAGATTAAAACTAGATTTCAGCATTTACCTCTTGATCAACTATAAATCAGGAATTAGAATTGATAATGGCAGTTATCCATCAACAGCAATGCAACTGCAGATGAGCAGGAGTAGTTTTATGGGTATTATCATCAAAGAAAACCTCTTCTATATGGAATGTTTCTAGGCTCTAAATAGGAGGTGATTAGATCCATGCAGGCCATCAGCATGGATAAGGAAGATGCACTTGAAGTAACACCCCTCCAGATTTCAGAACATTATTCTGAAACACTAGTAGAGGGCTTGAGCTCAGGCACAGCAGTTCACATTGCAGGCTCCCCTTGAGGGCAGACCTGGAAGGGACATCTACCACAGCCTGCAGGATTCTGCCCCTCGGTTCATCGTCGTGTTCACTGGGCAATTGAAAGCTTTGCGGAACTCTTCAAAGTTGCTCATGGCACCGATAACTCTGCAAAGAGAAAAGTGATGGTCATGCAGGTTGCCTTCTGTTAAGCACTACAGGTCTGCAAGTGTTTCAGTGCACTCACCTCAGGTTGTATTTTCAGGCTTTCATATAATTTTTCCACAAATAAACCCAAAAGTTCAGGAGAAGCACTCCCAGTTAAAGTTAATATGAAGACAATCTTGTTTTATTTGGTGCTTTGAGAAGTATCTTGCTTTGCTAGAAACTCAATGAAATACAAATGCATTTTGTGATACTATGTCCTTTAGAACAATTTCCTAATCTGACCCTGGACAGGAAAGGTGAGAGCTCAGCAACAGCCTTGCATGGTTCCAGAACCTGCCAGACCACAGCAGCCCGGCAGGCAGAAGCAAGCAAGTACACACTGGAGTTGTGCTAGCAATGGTTTCATTTGGCTCACATCAGCCAGATTCTCATAACAACACTCTCTGTACACACACACACACACACAGGATCCCCAGGACTTTGCAGCCTGAGCTGGGGGGACAGTTACACCCTCTTATTGGGCAGCTCAGCCTTACACCTCTGACCATCTCAATTCCTCTGATATTTTGGAAATACATTTTCTGAGTCTTTTAGCCTCACCAGCTCCCCAGATCTCTTGTTTCCACCACAGATGGTGTGATACTGAAAGAGCAGCACATCCCTGCCTCACACAAGCTAGACAATGTGTCTGCATCCCAGACTGGCACCTTGAGGCATTGGGGGAGAGTGTGCTCTCTGCATGCAGTCATCCTTGGCTCCTGCTTCCATTTCTGCATTATTTGATGCTGTCAGAAATTATTATTTTATCATTGCTAGATTGAGATTGTGTTGTTTTCTGAGTTTTCCTATGCTTTTAAGAATTTACTAATCTGAAATTTGCAATGGCATTAAAGTAAACAGCTTCCTGAGTTAAAAGCAGAAAAGTATCTACTGGGATATTAATTGTATGTCTGTCTTTCTATTGTCTTTGCTATGCAGTGAGAAGACATTTTTCTGTATCACAGACAATCAGCTTCTCAGCATAGCTCAGCATGGTAGAAAACATTCTTATTACATTGATTAGACTTTCTGTGAGTAAGAAAACTTGCAGTCAGCTGGCACAAAAATGTCTAAAGGTCAGTTTTATAGGGAGGATTACAAAATGAGGTTAGGCTTCAAATAAGATATACAGCTTTACTGTAAAAGCATTGCAGATACATATTCAAGGACTGGAACAGCAAGAGCTGGCCATGCAGAACTGCTGATGATGTTGGTGGGAGTTCTGCCTGCCGTGCCAGGGTTTTCACTCTGAAACTGGCACTTAAAAATAGCAGACACATGCTAATACTGAAAATATGCCAATTTAAAAGAAATAAAACCAGAATCTTTCCAGTGAAATATCTTTATGTGTGGACACACATGACTTTTCAACCCATGGTTTGATATTGCCACACATAAACTGTGAAATCAGAGTGGGCTGTCTGGATTTCATTCCATTGAACTATGGTAGAGGCTTCTTTCCCTTAACAGGTCACCCTGGGCTCTCTTGGTAATCAATAGAAAGATGTACTTGTAATTTAAGTAATTTAAATTTATTACCTACTCAAATATTGTATATCTCTGTGTGTGTGTATTTCCTTTTTAAATGCCTTTTCTTTTTTTTGATAGTGAAGAGAACCTGGTGTGGCTAGTTTGGATGTATACATTTATGCCCAAGAAATGTGTTGCTCATTTCTAACAATTTTTATAGTTACCTTTTATGATTACTTTTAAGAGAGCCATTTGAGTGTTTGGATAGAAAGAGCTGTCAATGTTGACACTAGCTATACTGCAGTTATACTCATGATGGTCATGATATTTGTCATGATACTTACTCATGATACTTGTTTATGATGGGACAAATAGGCAAGACAATTTGTTAGCCCAGAGGAAATGATTTGCAAAAGAGGTCAAGCAACAGTGTTTTTCTTCAGTTCTGAAACAGAAGCCAGTTCTGAGCATCTCACATAAAAACTAAGAAAAATTTTGCCTATATTTTCTAGATCTAAAATTAATCTAATCTTCTCTGAAATTTTTTCTCTTAGCCTGATGCCTTCAGGAGTTTTCCTCATGAATGCTCTATCCCTAGGGTTCCCTGTATATTTTGTGATTTGAACCATCTCGTGGGAATATAGCTATGCAATGATTCAGAATATAAATGTATGTATAGATAAATAAATCTGAGGACTTTAAAAGGCAAGAGATGGTTATTTTATCAAAATCTTAACAAGGGTAACCCTAACAAGGGTAGGAATTATGAAAAGAATAACTCCATAGGCTGAAGATCAGGCTGATACTCCTGCCCTTGTTGTCATGATGTATTTTCAATTGCTACAAGGCATGTAGATTAGCATACTGCACTGCTTTTACACTAGCTAGCTAGTATAGCAGATATTGCAAAGGTACAGTAGTGCAGATTCTAGGGTATAGAATTCTACCAAGACCTAGCATACGTATCTGCAATGCTAGCTTATATTATTTATATGGCATCCGTAGCCCAAGGTGTGTTACACATGCCATATTTATGTTTTCAGCTGTGGCATGGCTGTGTCCAGGGAATGTGTCAGAGTACCTGTGAAGCAACCTCACAGCTCCCCTGTGAAGGCAGTGTTGATATTTTCACTTTACCAAGAGAGAACTGAGGCAAAGTGGGCTCATATCACCTAACTGTAGCCATGTAGGAGGTGAGATTCCAGCTCTCTCTAGTCAACAGAAAGCAGTAGGATTCTCCAGAAGGCAACTAATCTACTATTTTGGAGATGCTTCCATTATGAATCACCTTGTGGAGTTAACATCCTTCCTCCAAATAAAGAGGTAATATAGTACTTGGCTGAGGGAAAACACAAAATTCTTAGTTAAGTAAATGCAACCGACATGAATCCCAAGAGAAACAATCTGTTCTTGGTCACACAAACTCTGTGAAGAAGGAGAGAAATAAACTCTGGCTTCCTAATTCTGATGTAGTCTCTGAAATTTTTCCCCCTTTCCAACCTCTCCTCCTTGGAATTCATGAGTGTCTGTGATTAGAGGAGCCTGTGGGAGTCCTTGTGGGCAAAGACACGGACACTGTTGTGGCTGGACTATCACAGCTCCATCAAGAAAAATATCATTTGAAGGCCAATGGAAGAGTTTACTTTTAAACTGAACTTCAATGGCATGTTTTGCTTTGCACTATCAATATAATTCAAGGTAGTAATTTACAAGATTTTAATGAACTCAAGCAGATTAAATCAAGGACACTCCTAATATTCACTGTTTTCTAAACTAGAATTTCTTAGGGA